AACTGATTGGATCTTTGCGCGGCATAAAACGTACAGCCATTCGGTACAATGGTCTGAAAAATCAGAGTCAATTCGACAAGTAATAGTCGATATTTTCCCACTTTAAGACATTTTCAAGCCCCCTCCCCTTTGTTTGTATAGGGAAGTTCTAAATTATTATTATCTTTCAAATGCCGTTGGAATTTAACCTTTTCTTTTGGGGGGGGGGCCTGCAAATGGGACATAGTACCTTTAAGCTTTACTACAAACGCAAGTGCCATGCATCAGAAAAAAATATAATGACAAAAAAATGTTTCATAAGTCGGAGTGAATAGGAGAGGAAAATGACAAATGTTTCGGGCAGTTTTCCCCAAGAATGCTGCAGACTACTTTTGTCGCTATTTAGGTTTCATAAGGAACGATCCTATAGGGCAAAAGAATGAATATGTATCATACACGTTCTAAAGTCCTCTTGGCGGCGATGATTTTACCATCCAGGTTTCACCCCGATGAACTGTATAGGCACCGATCCATCATAAATGTTTTATATATCTTACTTCTCAATCAGGATGAATTGTTAGCTAAAGGGAAAAGTTGGTTTATAGGTATTCAAACACCTGAACAGCGCACAATAAAAAAAAAAGATTGTAGGGGTTATTCACTGGGTCAACAAACGTCTTTCTCTTCCATTATATTATGGATTTATAGAATAACTCGTCACTAGGTCCCCAGGTAAAATAAGATCCATACATTTCAATATGCTAGTCAACCGGTCTAGATTGCAATTTACTCTCAAGCAGATCACTGGGCAATATCTATTATTCTTACAAAACTGACCTGGAAAAGCCATTTGTAGATACTATATCCCTCTTGCAGCCAACATCAAATTCTGTAGAACTTTGTAGGAATTATGAATATGTCATGTATGTCCTATCTGTGAAATCTAAACGCAGTCTCCTAATATTCAAATTATGCAAGAAAACCCTTCTACTTGCTAGACTTCACTGTCAGACACTATTGAGTAACCAACTGGCTTTTTTCTTCTTTGGTAATAACATACATAAAATGAGCTGTAAAGGGTACATGAGCATTTGTCTAGTACATCAATAACCAACTTCTTGTAATGGCGAAAATTAAACTGATTGAATCTTTGCGCAGCATAAAAAGTACGACCATTCGGTACAATGGTCAGAAAATCAGACTATTACTCACTGGCTCTATAGCTTTTAAGTCGATTCGACAACTAATAGTCGTTATTTTCCCATTTTAAGACATTTTCAAGCCCCCTCTTTTTTAGGGAAGTTCTAACTTAGTATTTACTTTCAAATGCCGTTGGAATTTAACCTTTTCATTTTTTGGCCTGAAAATGGGACATAGTCCCTTTAAACTGCAGTGTATATTTGTTTTGCACATTGACCTGGAAATGCCATTTGTATCTCCCTTTTAACTGTAGTGTATATTTGTTTTGAACATTTTACTGATATCATTTTATTTATTTTGCCAACGTTGCCCGTAAACATGAGTGATCCTGCTCCAGTCGCTATACGTGGGAAATACTTTGTACCATACCAATTTGTTATTTGATTTGATTTGATTTGATTTATTGCTTTCTGCATCTTTTTTTTTCATCATACATTTTCATGAACATAATATGGTTTGATACAATATTTCAAGTATATATAATTTTATACAGATAATATACGATATTAAACAAATATATTGAATGCATAATTAACATACATTAGATGCAGGAGGGCTACAGAATAAGCAAAGTAGCTTGACGTGCCCGCAGCCCTCAACTGATGCCTGGATTACATTTGCCCCGGGTGCCGTAGGATAAATTGGTCTATGTTTTTTCTTGCGATTTGGGGGGCATCGTATTCTACATGCTACGATGTTTATGTTTACATTATCTACGAGCCCTCGGGGCAGGCCGGGGCAAATCCGTACAGAGGCTGCTTGGAGATTGCAGTCTCCGCAGCCTCCGTGCAGAGGTTGCACGGAGAAGATGCGGTGACCGTGCAGCCGCCGTGCCGTTTTTTGCCCCCCATGTTCACCCAAAATCGTGCATTTGCTGCACGATCAGAGCGAGGCCTCCGCTCGATGCCCGTGCGGGGATTGTGCAATGCCACCTACGTCATTTTATCTGATGCATGGCACTAACGTTTTTAGTAAAGCTTAACCATCTATTATGAAACATTTTAAAGAATGAAGTTTGATTTGATTTGATTTTATTTATTTATTTTCTTCTGCATTTCATATAAATATAAACAATTTTCGGTAATATAATAAAACATGAAATACTAAGAAGTACTTTCTGCCAATAATCATGAAATAGCAAATACTTATGACAATTATTATAGGAAAAATAAAAGATAAATTATCAAGTTATTAAATTTCATCAAACTTTATAAAATCATTTGTGGAAGAGGGACTGCCATTGTAAGCAAATTTCGTTAAAATGTGACAGGTCAAATCAGACCTTATGAAATAGATGAACATATATATTTAGAAAGGATGGACCAGTAATCGAAAAAGTGGACTTTTAAAGATTATTATTATTATTATTATTATTTGAATAAAAGTTCCAGGATTGACAATTTTTATAACTTTTTTAAATCCCCCAAACGCTCTTGAGTCTTAGCAATTCAGAACCGTCAAGATAGCTGTCTTGAGCGATAGAAACACACGCTATGCCTGGTCCAGAAACTGTCATTGGTTGTGAGTCACCATAACATTTTTATCCAGATTAATTCTTTCACCTTTCTTGACCAGGATTGCGTTCAGAACTCAATAATGTGGGCATTATCCCCCATCGAATGTTGTGTCCAGGGGGGCGTTTCACAAAACTTGTCACCAGTGACAAATGACAGCTTTTGTTATAAGCTACTGAAATCCTTGCTTCTGATTGGCTATTTGAAAAAGGGCTTTGAGAAACGGGCCCCTAGGATTCAGAGTGTGTTCTGATTTTGCCCAATGAGATGGAATGCTCAGACTTGTTGTTTTTATTTCCGTATAAAAAATAATCATATACAAATACAAATATACGGATGGTTGCCCATATTCAGCTGCAACGATAATTGTTGCTGCTGGTCTTCCATGGGGCCAGTTTACAATATACAAAATATACATAATATTACAAATTAAAAAAATAAATAATTACAAAGTATCAGTCGAAAACTTAATACAAATACTTAAAGGAAAAAAACAAAAAAAACAAAAAAAACAAAAAAACAAACAAAACAAACATCATATAAACATACATAAAGAGGTACTACAACAAGGTGATTATAGTCTGTTTAGGTTAGTCTGAAAGGTGGCAAAAGTGAGTAGTTGACGCAAATCAAGGGATAATTTATTATATTGAAAAGAAGCTCTGTACACAAAAGTTCTTTTACAGTAATTAGTTCTTGGCTTAGGTAAAGAGAGATTATGTGCATTACGGAGGGAGTATGGAGAGGGTTTAAATTCAAATATGTCTTTCAAATATTCAGGGGTCATGTTATGTAATGTTTTGTAAGTTAGGAGTAATAAATGGATTTGTTGCCTTTCACGTATCATTTGCCAACCAAGACAGCTATGAATTTGACTGGTAGAAGTATGCGAATAAGGGTTAACTTTAAGTATGATTCTACCGGCCTTATTTTAAATTTTTTGGAGTTGTATTAAACTGTTAGTGCAGGCAGATTGCCATACTACATCCCCGTAATCAAAGTGCGGTAATATGATGGAATTATAGATTAATTTCAATTCAGACATATTCACAAATTGTCTTAGTCTACATAAATAACTAACCATTTTACTTAGTTTGTTACACGTCTGTTTAATGTGAACATCCCATTTTAATTTTTCATCCACATGTACACCGAGATAAAGAAAGAGTCTAAGCACGATGGCTTAACTTTAAACAAAGTGTAGAGAGAACAAACACCAACGCAACTCGATGCATGGCCAGTCTTGTGCTTCCAACATAAAGAAGTTTCAGCGAAGCGTTCAGCGTTCGTGTACAGTAAGACGCTTAACGAGATGGATTAGTTGCTACTTCCAGTTTCTATGCAAATAAAATTCCAGGTACAATACACGCGATAACTAACTAACCATCGACTGATCATGCTTATGAAGACGACGTTAGTTTGCTGATATTGGTCATCTGTGTAAGAATAACACGGCGTCCATCAGTGGTCAAAACTATGATTCGGCCATCTTGAGTCCAAATCGCTTTCAATTTTTCCTTATGTTTTGACTTTATCTCCCGAAAGAGTCTTCCTCGCTCTTTCGTCAAATTCTCTTGTATGAAAATGGGCGTCCCTTCCAAACCTCTGAGTTTCCTTCTTGCCTGGTAGACCTTGTTACGAGCCGTGTAGTTGGTGAATCGAACAATGATCCCTCTGGTTGATCCTCCATTTTTCGATCCTAATCTGTGCGATCTATCGATGTCTCCTCTTGTTAGCTTTATGTCCAATTTCTCCTCACACACTTTGTTAATCATTTCATCTGTCTTCTCATTCTCTCTCTCATCCAGACCATGAACAATCAGGCAATTTCTTCTTGAGTATTGCTCAGCCTCTTCGTGCTCCTCCTTCAGTCTGGCAAATTTTCTTTCCAATTCACTGATTTTGCTATCTCTCTCGGAAAGCTCAAATTCAAAACTTTCACGAATACTTTCAGCAACTTTTTCAGTAATGACAGATGTTAGTTCTTCAATAAGTGTCAGCTTTACCTTTGATACAAGAGAGTCTAGAATATCGTTGTTGTCCTCCAGTACTTTCTTGACTTCTCCGCGCATATCTCTTGCGATATCCTCGGTTTGAAGTTTCGCGCCTCTCGGCATCTTGAAGCGTTTCCGGGTAATAACTTCCTTATATTTCACGAAAAGAGTTCACGTAGTATAAGTAAAACCAACACAGGTAGTTCAACGATCTCCCAAAGTACTCAAAAGTAGGCAAAATTCCTATGGGTGATATAGTTCCATTGCTGTTGTATATACTTCAGCGAAGTTGTGAGTGCGGAGCGAATCGTTAGGCACGTCCGTTCATGACGACAATCAGCTCAAAAAAGTGAGACTGAGAGCTCTTTTGTGTAGTTTTTCCCAAAACTTTGTTTTTCTTCCCTCTCTGCAGATTTCTTTAAAAAAAATGACTTCATCCATGACTCCAGAAGATTCCAAAGACGACACTCCCTATCAGGATGAGGTCAAGTACAAGAAATCGGACATAAAAGACCGCGGATCGTGGACAAAACAGATCGACTTCTTCCTAACTCTTTGCGGGGGATCCGTCGGCCTGGGCAATGTCTGGAGATTCCCTTATCTCTGCTACAAACACGGTGGAGGTAGGTCGATTTTTCTTTCTGAGGGGATGGGGGAGGGGGAGTTCTGTGGACTGTTGTTTCTAGCAGGAGTGAAAAGTTCTGAAGAAATGTTTGGTATTTTCCTTGTCTCTGCTACTTATTTTGGATTTACAGTAGGATATTGCAATTGAATTGCCCCTGAATTTATTTTTTGAAAGGAGTTGTGATCATGTTTGTATTTGTATGTATTAGAAAACTTTTTTTCAAATGCCAGGGCATGCAGTTGGCCTACATTAATATTTTGTTTTACAAAACATAATCATAATTACAAATATAAAATAATAAATCTTTAAAAGATACCATCCTATATTTCTAGTCTGTCTTGTCCCATCCAGCAATCAAGATATTCATTCCGTTCAAGGTCAGACCCCCTTCTTCTGCAAATCCCCCGCATCAATTCGAAGAAGGGTCAACAAAATAGAATTTTGTCTGGTCCCACTATGTGGAATAGTCTCCCATTAGGCATTCGTTCCTGCATCTCAGTCGCATCATTTTAGAGAAATCTAAACTCTCATTTGTTTTCTTTGTATTGTTATTTTTAGAGTGTAATGCACTTGGAGAGCATATAATTATTCCGTTTTTGATTTACTAATGTAAAGCGCTTTGAGCATGTTTATGTAAAGGCGCTATATAAATATCAATATGTATGTATGTATGTATGAAAATATTAATTGAGTAAGTATGTAAATCAAATCAAATCAAATCAAATCAAATATGCATTTCTTCAAATTAGGTCAATTGTTTGGAAGATGTCCAACGGTAATTCATAAAAAAATCTTTTGCGGTGAAGCTTTACCTACTTGTGTACTGCATTAAAGCCCGTCTGTACTAGTTTGACCACCCAGTGTGGTCATTGATAGATGGCTATCTCATCAACTCAGCTCCCAATTAACATAAGAAAAAGAGAATCATACGGGAGCAACATGTACCGCTTAGGCATTGTTTGCTAATATAGAGGGAGCAAGTAGCTACACGTACTGCAGTGGGCTTTAAATCTGATAGTAATAATCATTACATAACGTATAACTGAAATTACAATGTAAAATATTTTTAGGTAACGTTCGGATGGCTAGAAACGAATTCTCTGATCGTTGCTATAATTCATTTTGTTGTCAGCTTGGCCCCGTCTTATAAAGATTTGATATCAATCGCAACTATGTACATAATAGATAGGAGACTGCAAACTTGCGATTGATCGGAGGACTTGATTTGAATCGATCGTATCCCTTTATAAGACGGGGCCTAGGAAACCAATGAGACCTACACCAGGGGGTGTTTCACAAGATCCTAAGTTGGACTTAACAATTATGAAGGCGGTGGCATCTATGAGAATATTTCGTAAAATTTATTTTAAAAGGCATAAAATGTTGAGTCAATTCATTAATATTTCCTATTACCACAGGGATTTTATGTTCTTGATGTGGAATAATCTAAAATACTTGAATTTTCGCTTTTGAATATGTTTGATTTTAAGGTTACAAATGGCTCTCCATAATTTTTTAGTCCAACTTAGAGTTAAGTTCGACTTAGGATCTTTGTGAAACACCCCCAGATCAACAAAATATCGAGAGAAAAAATTACATTGCCCTGAATGGTCAAGAATAAGTCGGTTTGAAGTCGGTAAGGGGTCGGTGTGGATCGGTGTGGAGTCGGTGTGGAGTCGGTATGGAGTCAGTTTGAAGTCAGTAGGGAAGTCTGTAAGGAGGCGGTGTGGAGTAGGCGTGAAATCGGTAAGGAGTCGGTGTAGAGTCGGTGTAGAGTCGGTGTAGAGTCAGTGTGGAGTCGGTGTGGAGTCGGTGTGGAGTCGGTTTGAAGTCGGGAAGAAGTCGGTTTGAAATCGGTAAGGAGTCGGTGTTGAGCCGGTGTGGATTCGGTAAGGAGTCAATTTGGCAGTGTGAATGAAGAATTATATTCGTTTTTATCTACAGGGGCGTTCCTAGTGCCGTATTTTCTGTGTGTCATTTTGGGAGGAATTCCATTGCTGGTCATCGAGATTGGTATTGGTCAGTTTACTGGACAGGGACCAATCACAGCGTGGAATATGATCTCACCTCTCTTCAAAGGTAAGTTTACTTTGAACTTTGTCTTTGTCTTTGTCTCTCTGTCTCTTTCTCTCTCTCTCTCTCTCTCTCTATCTCTTTATCCCTCTCCCTTTTTCTCTCTCTCCCATCTCTCTCTCTCTCTCTCTCTCTCTCGCTCTCTCTCCTTCGCTCTAACCTCACTCCCCTTCCCCTATCCCTCTCTCACACACACAATCTAACTCTGTACTACCCCCCCCCCTCTCTCTCTCTCTCTCTCTCTCTTCTTCTCCTCTTTCTTCTTTTCTTCCTTCTTCTTCTTCTTCTTCTTCTCTCTCTCTCTCTCTCTCTCTCTCTTCTTCTCCTCTTTCTTCTTTTCTTCCTTCTTCTTCTTCTCTCTCTCTCTCTCTCTCTCTACTTCTTTTCAATTTATTAATCCCATTCAACCATTTTTTGTTTCAAAAAATAACATCCGGTGGTTTTATGTAAACAACACCATAGATACTACGAATGAAAGATTTCTCTGACAGGTGATAAGGACGTCAAGAAACTATTCAATAATAAATTTGAATAACTGCACATATTATCATATAAATCTATGCTGTGTATAATCACATTCATGTTAGCATTGTTAAAAATTAGTCACTGCTTTTTTATAATTTTGTTTTGGTTTTGCTCTTCTTTATTTCGTCAGGAATCGGGGTCGCTTGTCTGGTGGTGGAATCCTTTCTCAACACGTACTACGTAGTGATCATGGCGTGGGGTCTCTACTATCTCTTCTGGTAGGTGTTTCACAAAGATCCTAAGTTGAACTTATCTCTAAGTTGGACTTAACAAGTATGGAAAGCCGTTAGCATCCTTGAAACTATTTTGTAAGAGTTATTTTAAAAGAATAAAATGTTGATTCAAATCATTCATATTTTCTATTATCATGGGAGATTTCATGTTCTTGATTTGGAATTTATGAGAAGTCTACAATACTCGAATTTTCGCTTTTTAATATATTTCATTATAGGCTACAAATGGCTCTCCATAATATTGAAGTCCAACCTAGAGTTACAGTAAGTTTAACTTATAATCTTTGTGAAACACCCCCAGGTCTTTCAGGGCCGTTCTCCCGTACTCGACCTGCGACAACGAGTGGAACACGCCCTGTTGCATGGTAGCGAACGCCGCTGCGAAAGTCAACACGACGTCGAGTGATAATGTCACCGTGTACGAGTTGGCCAACGACATGACGAATTCAAGGATGAATACGAGTGTGGAGTGCGGGAACGAGACGACGTCTCCAACGGTCGAGTTTTGGAAGTAAGTCGATTATGCGCGATACAAAATGATTGGAATAAACATTCCCCATCACTATATGGGAACGTCGTATCATCCGCTTAATCTGACTTGCGTGCATTGAACAAATTAGCATTTGTGCATGAAAAGGTGAAGTTTTATTTTAAAAAGTACGTTTCTTTCCGGCAATGGGGTGCCCGTGAGTCACTTGGGTATACTTTCAAAAAGTATAATATAAACAAAAATATGGCACTTTCCTCGTACTTTTGTCGTGGAAAACATAAAAATACAGCACAATGTCGTCTCTTTATGCGTTGGAGAAGAGCAAAAAAGCGTGTTTCAATCGCACTTTGGCCGCTTTAGCAAGCCCTTACTCGTTTCATTATGCTCAGCAGACGGTTTTTAGGTGAGCGGTTAATGAATATACTATTCGTTAGCTTGTTTCTGGTATGTAACTTGTTTTGATAGTTTGTATATGCCCGATAAAGCCAATTGGACCCCTTGATCCATGCAATCAATCAGGCGCGGATCCACGGGCCGATTCTACCATTGTGAGTCAAATTGATACGTATATTTGTTTGAATAAGCACTGCTATTTACCAGAATCTTCTTTGTAAAAACAACTTTTACAAATCACAGCCATACTTACTGAGATGAGACGTTCCATTCAATTCGAAATACTCATTAAAGAATACACTGAATCACAATGATCATTTTGTCGCATGATCCTTTTATTAAATAACCTTGTTTTCTTTTTTGTTTGCAGGGGGAGAAGAAGCTATATCACGTTAAGAAATCATAAAGATCAGTTGTATTATGCGTATATACATAATGATAACAGAACAAAATGTTGATTATCAGAATGTCATTTTGGAATACCTCTACCCGATCTTACTGTGCCGATACCACATTATCTTTAGCCCGTTTCAGTATTAGTATGAGCCAATATAAAGTTATTATTCTTTATTCAGTTCAGTATAATGCTTTTCCTCAAAAACAGTTTTTCTATTTTTTTAGGGTTGAGACGCTAAGAAATGGTTTCAAAATGTATATTACACAAACCCTGAACCATTGCATAATGATGGTGGTTCTCTCTCTCTCTATTTATTTTAATCATGCATTATCAACTACATATAAAGCAGCAACAACAATGCTAAAACGGAGCATCACCCCCCCCCCCCCTGCCAAAAAAAAAATTAGTGGTCCTCCTCTCCAACACCCCCTCCCCCCCCCCCCCCCCCGCTTTAATATTCACCGGCAGGCTGAGTAGGCGCAAAAATGTTCCAAAAAAACTGGACCCCCCCAAAAAAAAATATATATATATGTGCTCTTATCCATTGAAAGAGAGATCTTTCAAGGTTCAAACAAAAGGGAGCGAATATCATTTTGTTTTTAATGTTTGATTTCACATTCAGTTGATGGCTTCTCATTTAATGAATTATTATGAATATTATTGAAAAATTAGGTTTAATACATTTTGAATTACATTTTCTTTCATAGACAGGGGAGCCTACTTTGAACCTTTAATTTGTATTGTATCGACGAGAGCCACTTGCTAGTTGGGATAATGTGAAAATCACAGTTCCTAGTAGGCCTAATCATTGACTTTGGTATCACTATCACATTTTGTCATTATCAACGTCATCACCATCATCGTCAACAACTGCAACATTATTAATTTCCGACATTGTTATCATCTCCAACATCGTAATCATTGTCGTTACCAAAGTCATCGTCCTTTTCATTACCGTCGCTTTAACATCATTAATTGTCTCTCATTACCACAACCGCTACCGTCAATCATCATAACCATCGTCGTCATCGTCGTCGTCATCAACGTCATTATCACCGTCCTCGTCAAAATCATCATAACTGTCGTCGCAACCATCGTCACCATCATCGTCTTCGTCATCGTGGTGAACATCATCATCATCATCACGGTCTTTGTCGACGTCCTCGTCACCACCAGTCGGAAGGTTCTTCAGATTCACCTATCCGAGGGAATTCATGACATAGGCAACGTGAACTGGCATCTTGTTCTGTGTCTCATTCTCGCCTGGATCTGCATCTACCTCTGTATCTGCAAAGGAGTGAAATCATCAGGAAAGGTAATGCTACGGTCACAAAGGTTCGTACGAACAATAATTTCGTACGAATCTCCCTGTTTTTCCATTGTCTTTCCGAATTTCCATTGTCTGAAAATCGTTCGTACGGCGTTCGTAGCAGTTCGTAATGGCATTTGTGACCGAGGCTTTAAACATTTTTTTTTTTTTTTAATTGTTGTCTATTGAGAGTCAGAAAGGCATTAAAGATAAAGGTGAGTTCTGGTTCCCAAAAAAAGAAAACGAATTCTCACAGAATCAAACGAAACTAGAAATGCAATCGTGTCACAACGATGTGCGTGCAATGACGCCGTGTTTCTACGTGTCAAACGAAAGAGCTTCTCTCGGACTATCCAGAGCAATTTGCACGAAGTCTGTAGCTTCTGTGATATTGGAGATAGGTAGGGCGAAAGAAAGGCATCAACAGTGACCTTGATGGGATGGTACTATGCCTACGAAGTTTGAAAGAAATTGGGATAGGGGAAAGAACCTAGAAAGGGCTCGCAAGCACTGCGTGCACAAACCAATGGGATTTGGTGCATGTTTGACATTGCAATCAAGTTCGTTCTGGGGGCCAAAAGCGTGAACCCGATATGCCCCATAGACAATGCGTGTAATGAATGGGCGGAAAACGTGCAGGATCTGTATTATGGCCGGAGTTAAATTGTTTTTTCTCTCTCTCTTTACGTCTCTTTATGGGCCGTATTTGGTATCATTAGAAAGAGAATTTCATGGTTGTTATTGTAAACCACTCTCTTTTTTTCTATGATAATCCTATCGAAACACGTGATGTAAAATAGATGTATAGGACAAAATGGCGTCTTAAATGGCCCCCTTGACCAATTTTAAAAATCCGGCCAAAAGGTGCCCTGCGTATTGGAACTCGGCATGTCACTGCAAATTTTCAAGGAAAAAAATGGACGTTTAAGGGGCGAAAAGCAGTCTGAAAAAATGACGTCATAGCCGAAACGTGTTAGGTTCGGGCGGAAACTCGGCGGAATTCGTGTAGTGATCTTTGTTCAAATGCGATTTACTCACAATTTTCTGTGTGAACATATATAATACTTGGTATCATCCGAAAGGGCACTTCATTGCGGTCAGTTTGACACTATTGTTAACTGCGCGCAATGTATTGCGCGCATTGAACGCGCTATTACGTAATCCATAGTAAATTCATCATTTTTGGCGATAACTTTGCGCTGACATATTCGAATTTTACCAAACTTGGTAAACAGTTGTCACGTATATGAATACATATGTCTGCAAAGTTTCATTGATGTAGGTATAACGATCGCCATTTTAGAGCAAGTTGAAGTTATTTCTCAATTTTCTTGAAAATGGCGAATTTGGAGGGCAATTTTCTCAAATTTGGTCAGTGATAGGGTATATAATTTTGTATATGGCTGGAAAGGGCATATCTTCAAGTATCTAAATCCAAAAAAGGGTACGGGTTTGCCAAGCCATTATGGAGATACGGCCACAGACAGAAAGCCAATTCCCAGAACTTTAGAGGGCGCTATTTATGTTGTGCAAAGCCATTGGAGCGTGAAATTTGGCATGGCCATGTGCAATTATGAGATAAAGATACTGTGAGATTTAAATACAAAACGGAATTTATATGAGAAAGTTATGGCAGTTTTAGATTATTTAGGGGTCCATTTTTCAAGAACTTGAGAGATTTTTGACGGAGTCGGTTTTAGATTTGAATTTCGAGTATGAAGATGGCATTTTGAAGGTCAAGTCATGCGTCGCAGATGAAAGAACATCTCTCAGACTATCTAGAGGAATTTGTTAGAAGTTTGTAGGATCTAGGATATTTGAGATAGGAAGGAAGATATAAAGGCCTTAAAATGGACCAGAAACGGACAAAATGGCGCCTGGACGGTCATGCATGAGTGATTTCGAAAATCGAAAAAGTAGGTGACCTTGATGAGATGCTAGAGATGATGCCTACGAAATTTGAAAGGAAATGGATATGATGAAGGCACCTAACTGGGAATAACAAGCACTACGTGCAAAACGAATGTGATTTCCGGACGATAAGGAATATACTAAGGAGAATATTAATGGGGCAGAATGTGAACGAAAACAAGGCAATGACGAAGGTTCGTCATTGCAACTAACGCTGCATGTTCAAGATTACAAATAAATGTCATTTGCCACACGATTTTGGTAGAAAATGTATCCTGGCTGAGTAATGAACATAGAAAGATTAGGAAATCAAGGTTAGTCGCCCCGACACGATTTGTGTAGTCCAATATACATCTGTGTACAGTGCTTGTTACTTATCATCTTTTTTCTGATCCATTCCACACCTTTTCTTTCACAATGCAATCGGATGACCAGAACTCACCTTTATCTTTAACGCTATGTATGAATACTACCACTTGACGCCCTGCTGGCTCTGATCATAGTGTTATTGTAAATTATTTCGCACTTTCTATATTCTCTTCCTCAATTCTCTATTAACACCGATTCAGATGCACGCGCACATTTTAGGGAATTTTTTTTTCTTCACTATCAACGCCACTCATGCGCTTCCACGATGTTAATACTATATTGGTACGATGTTAATACGATGTTGATACGATGTTGATACGATGTCTATATGATCTTAATATGATGCTTATACGATGTTAATACGGTTGGAAGTTGGGAGGTTCACTTGGTTACACTTGCTTTTAACTCTTCGGGAAACTTGTTTGTGCTTTAAAGCGGTCATTGAACTCAACAAAATAAACCGGGTCAGAATTTCTACAACATCAATCAACTTCTATATTGCTGAAGGCCTTGTTAGTCTTCATGGGGAAATTTGTTTTGAATTGTTTGGGTGCATTGTGGAATACGTCAATTTAATCGTTGTGAAACATCTCCTTGTTTATTTATGTAATAATGACAGAAAAGTTACGGTGAGTGGGGGGGGGGGGACGTTTTCGATTGTTGCGTCGGACAACGCAGTAGGATAATTATGGCGTGATTTTCATTTTGTTCCTTATACTCTCCTTCCGCCATTTTGAATTTCTTTTGATGTACAGGTGGTATACTTCACCGTTCCGTTTCCATACATCCTGCTCACAATCCTACTCATACGAGCCGTGACGTTACCCAATGCAATCGACGGCATTATCTTCTATCTCAAGCCAGATCTCACAAAACTCAGGAATAGTCAGGTAGGTCAATCTTAAAATCGACTTTGTGGGTCTGGACGCAAGGTCCTGGTCTAGGAACTGTGTTTGGGCCCACATTCAGGACTTTGTCTTGATTTCAGACGAGATTTTAGGGGGTTTTAGTCACAGGTTTAGTAACTTTTATGCTCAATTATACTTGTACTCTCAAACATGATGTCACAAAGCTAAAGAACTTAAAAGTCAAGTTTAAACTAGGGCTCAAAACCTGGGCCCCATATCGTATCCTGGTATAAAGATGGCTATTGGACCCCTATTTAGGACTTGGTCTTGATCTCTGGGGTTTCAAGGTCTTAGCAACAATGCTACTCATACGAGCCGTTACTGCTTTGGAGGACACCAACTTCCTATATCTCAAACATGGCGTCACTAAACTCAAGGCCCCTCAGGTACTAAGAAGGTCAGGCTTAGCGATAGAAATTGAGTTCTGGTCATTCGATTACATTGTGGAAATAATAATTTAATGATCTGGGAGCAATTCCTGAAGGTTTGTTATGAGTGGGAACAGTGAGGAAAATGACCCAATCTTCTTCTTCTTCTTCTTCTTCTTCTTCTTCTTCTTCTTCTTCTTCTTCCATCCAGGTTTGGTTGGACGCAGCTACTCAGATCTTCTTCTCCAATTCTCTTGGTCAGGGGGTCCTGGTTGCGTTAGGGAGCTACAATAAGAAAACACACAACTTCGTCAGGTATATAAATCATCTATAATTCATCTATAACTCATGATTTCGACGCTTTTTCATAACAATTGGCTTTACAAAACACTTACAAGAGATGTAGAGGTGTCGTGGTCTAGTGGATCACGTGGTTCGCGGTTCGAGTCCCGCTGTAAAACTAATGTCCTTTGCCACTCTCCACTCCGGTGTAGTAAATGGGTATGCGCCTTATCACGGTGCTAAAAGCCGGGGTAATAATGTGATTGCAAGAGCCTCAGGGGCAACAGTATTGGTTAAAAATGAGGCTGCCGTGTGAAAACGAAACATATTATTATAACTCTTATTATTACAATAAAGCTATAATACTGAAATCAATGCATTCGATTATCTGTAAGCAAATTGTTTATAATGTCCAAAATCGCAGTTCATAGTAATCGTTAAGTGTTTTATCACTTTAGCCTTTTGTCATTATTACCATTATCATCGTCATCACCATCATCATCAACAAATACAACATCATTTAAGTTTGGCACTTTTGTATTAATAAGATGATTCATGAAATTGACATAAATCTAATAACAATAGCTATTACACCAATACTAACTTATACGATAATATATGTCTTCCAGATGATACCATTCTTGTTTGCGTCATGTTTTATTACAGGGACACACTGCTGTATTCTGCAATAAACAGTGCAACCAGTTTGTATGCTGGGTTTGTCATCTTTGCTGTGCTTGGGTTCATGTCGGGTGTGCAGGGGAAAGCAGTTGGTGATGTTGCGAGCTCTGGTAAGTTTTGCCAAAAAGGGGTCTAAATAGCGGCAACCAAAAAAATAATCGACCCCAAATCCGCCCCTGACACATTATTTACATATACGCTACTCCTTTAATATGCGCTACCTTATAAGCGGATTTAAATACCCCTCGGACAACTACCTCCCGGACAACTACCCCCTAGGACAACTACCCCGGACACATTATTTACATATTCGCTACTCCTTATCTTTATGGATTTAACACAATTTGCCCTCTTACCCCTTCTCACAAGCGTTTAATTAAATTATAAGCCTAAAATTTCTTTGAAAAAGTCCTCGATTCTTGTGTTATTTCTTTTGTTCAGTATATGATATTAGAAAACTTTATATTAATCTGTTTATAGACAGCGTCTTCCCAGTTAAAAGCAAGTTATAGTATTCCTTACAAGTTCTTGCATTTCTTGTATTTTGTATAAAATGTCACAATTTGTTTTGTTTTATTCATTCTCCTATTCGTTTGCTGTATCCAATCGAATTTACCTCACGGTGACTTGAAAAGAAGAATTTTTTAATTTAAAACACAATTTGTACACAATCTTAAAGAGGAGGCCTATTTTTATATGAGGCAAGAAAATATGTTTGTCTTGGTTTTCCTTCCTATTCTTAATCCAACGAAAGCATCAATGTAACCCTTTCGCCGGAATAGAACATCACCCAGAAAACGAAACAATGCATATTGTTCGAAGGCCTACACGATAATATGAACAGAAGTAAAAGCTCGTACCACAACATTGACGTTCGCGTTACTTCAATTCGTCATTAAAAATGTTGTCACGGTAATAAAAATCTGTATCGGATGTGTCACCTTGGGTCAAGTACTTGAAATGCTTACATTAGGTAAAACCTGAAACCACTTTGGAATAGTTAATGTTATTTCTAAGCGTTTCCACATTATCACAGTTTAGTGGACCTCAACTATTGACATTCTTTCCTGCTTTTGTAATAGATTGCATTATATAATATCACATTGTTCATTAGTTTTCAGGAGCATTTTTATTGGAAATGACAATCGTGGATATATATATAATGAAATTAAAAAGACAAATACTCTGCGTGTACTAATAAGTGATTTTTTGTTATAGACTTTACAATAATTAATAGGAACGTTGCATGCCAAAAAATGTGATTGGTATATCAATTTTTAATTTTCATGACTATTAACAAGACATATTTGGTCTATTACTTGGGCTACTTTCTTAGGTCCAGGTCTAGGGTTCATAGCATACCCCGAGGCCATCACCCAGACACCCCTCTCGACACTATGGGCTATTCTCTTCTTCCTCACCCTCCTCTTCCTAGGTATAGATAGCCAGGTAAGTCCTAACCCTCCCCCCCCCCCTTCCCCATCCCCCTTCCCCAACCCCTCCCCTCCCCCTCCCTATCCCTATCCCAACCCCACCTCCTTTCGAAAACACGATCGCAAATAGGACATTTTAATTTTCGCAGATTTTAGTCGGTGATTAAAGGGCCTATTGAAAATGCACCTAGTTGATTTTTCGAAAGTCTTTGTGATCAGGTTCAAATCTTTCTGAGGACAATTTCGTAACATAGGCCTATTTTGTAACTATCATTTGCAAGAAAACTCGGAACAATCTACTTTGGTTCATCTCTCTCTCTCTCTCTCTCTCTCTCTCTCTTCCTCTCTCTCTCTCTCTCTCTCTCTCTCTCTTTCTCTCTTTCTTTCTCTCTTTCTCCCTCTCTCTCTCTCTCTCTTCCTCCCTCTCTCTCTTTCTCTCTTTCTTTCTCTCTCTTTCTTTCTCTCTCTCTCTCTCTCTCTTCCTCCCTCTCTCTCTCTCACTCTTTCTCTATCTCTCTCCCTCTCTCTTTCTTTCTCTCTTTCTCTCTTTCTCTCTCTCTGTCGTTCTCCGTCGTTCATCTTCAATTTACTGGTATAGCTATTCCTTAGCGTAGAACAGTTTTAATGTAAACCTACACAAAATATACCCCGTTTAGGGAAGCGATCCGAATATATATTGTCCGGTCTCAACTACTTCAAACAGGAACCGCTATTGAGAATACGGGGTTATCCTAACCATAATAACGGCAGGATATTGGTATAAATACGATACCCAATATTCGGTAGAACGTTGACATCGTGGGAAAACAAGGAACAATGATAAGCACATTCATATGTTTCAAACAATTATATAGTATTTGTGGTAATAGAAGAAAGTTTTCCCTAAACTGCAATCAGCGCAATCAGCAACGACAACAACGAAACAGAACGATAGTTCAAAAGTATGTGGAATTGTTTTAAAAGTTTCGAATACTTTTATCATACTCATGGAAAACAGAAAGAGCCATGTAGATTTTATACGGTTTACGGAATTAATTGTATAACTATTAATACATTTTGCCCTTTACTCATGGCTACTTGTTTCACTGAAAAATACTAATACACTTATATATACTTTAATATTTGTGTATTTAAACTTAAACTTGAATCTATTATCTCAATTTCTTTTGATCTGGTATACCGTTTACCTCAAAAAAAAGTATTTATTTCAATTTTCGCCATGATGATTTCAGTACAAAGGTTAGATTGACCTTTAGTACGCCCTCTTTCGTCCATTAACATCTCAACTGCATACATTACTTTCAAATTTCGACCTCTAGTTTGTATGCGTTGAAGGGTTCATCACAACCGTGGTCGATCTCTATCCCAAAACCCTGCTTCGAGGGTACCGGAGAGAGATGTTCTGCGCAGCCGTCTGCGCAGTTTACTGCATCCTAGCTATCCCCGTGGTAACAAACGTAAGTAGATTCTCGAGAACCTTTTTAAACTACAGAGTGAGTCAGAAAAAATGTCCCACTTTTTAAAATTGTATTGTTTGAAGTACTGTATGAATATTTAATCATGGGTTTCATGATATGTCTTGATAGAGTTATCCTCCCAGTACATTTAGGTACCATTTTCGTTTTAATCCCTTCATGCATGAATGAACATCAGACAATCTGTACAAGACTGCCAGATCTCACTCTATCAAGACATATCATGAAACCCATGATTAAATATTCATACTTCAAACAATACAACTTTTAAAAAGTGGGACTTTTTTCTGACTCACTCTGTATATCATCAAATCTATCTAACATGGTATTCAAAGCAAAAAGATAATGGTTAAGCTTTATTTACCCATTGTTACCTCATCGTCATAAGTTTATCAGTACTGCTGTCTACGATGGCCCTGTATAATTACCCAACCATTGCCAAGTACCCTTAAATAGACTTCGGTCAGGCACGTAGCCACGGGGGGGGGGGGTGGCACGGTGGGGCACGTGCCCCCCCCCCCTAAAATTTCCAAGATCGGTTGAACTTTTTTAGACCCCTTTTTTTTTACCTCGATCGATGCCCCCCCCCCCCCCCCCCCCCTAACATCGAAGTCTGGCTACGTGCCTGCTTCGGTCAACAAACTCTCGTACAAAATTTCAATTTCAATTCAATTATTAATTTCATGAAATACAAAGATATAATATATAATAAAACTGTACTTGGGAAATCGCATTAAAAAATCCAGTGGCTTGCATTAAAACAAAGCGATTCTCTTTACAATAATAGTAATGATAATACAGAACACAAACAAAGCTTTAAACAAAACGAAAATTATTATCGTATTACAAACAGGACCAATTTCAAGACCCTTCTTTAATATATTACAGCGCTCCTACAGTTTGGTATTTCTATTTTGATTTGATTTGATTTGATAAGGTTTTATTCGAATATTCAACAATACAGCTGGAGGCTGATACAAGTGAATTTACAAGGTAAAAATAATTCCATAGACATAAAAAATATAATTATATGCTTAAACACTTTTAAATGAATCCAGATATAAACAGTACATAGTAAATAAATCATAGATAATGAAAACAATAATAATATTGAGTTCGGTTTGCATACTTGGATATGAAATAAATAGAAATTCAAAGGGTGTAAGATCAGGTATACAGTTTGAGAGTCGGAGCAGGACATTTTGATAATGTATTAAGAGAAAAATTATTATTGATCATTAAAAAATTGAAATTAAATGATTAAACTGTAACATTTACATGAAGTATATATACAAAATAATTCGATAAAATACAATTACTAAATATTGTTATGTATGATCTTCATGAATACGTGATGTAAAACCCGGCTTGAAAACATAAAATTACATTTATTAAATTAAATTTATTGAAATAACATTAATAATTATTGCATTGATCAACTTGCATTTATCAAAGTTGAATTTAAAAAGTCAGATAATATACATTGTTCTTTTGAGTTGCATAGATTGGCAATGAAAATATCTTTTATAATAATTTATCGGATAAAAATTGCATTTAACTAAATTATATCTCTAAAAATTACATTTCTTTTCACAAAATCAAATTCTTCAAAAATGCATTTTATCAAAGTTCTATTTATTAAAATCATATTTATCACAACTATATTCATAAAACTAGATACAAATTCAGATAGAGGTTCAGGATTAAATAGCTAGACCTATATGAGGAGGTCGGGATTCTTATTTAGTAAACGAACAATTGATGGGATACTAGAATTGTAATATCTTGTGGTCCTGCATTTTGGTTCATGGAGAAGATGTGAGTTCCGTAACTGCCTTCCAGACAGTGATCGTCGGGACTTTGGAAGAAAGTCACGATGGCGAGCTGACGTGAGAAGGTCACGTGCAAAAGAGAGGAGAAGACCTTCTCGTCGTGAGTGGAGAGAATCAAGACGGAGGTGATCCAAAGCACCGCGGTAAGAGTCATACCCACCAAGGATGACTCGACAGACCCTTTTCTGCACCCTTTCTGCACCCTTTTCTGCACACGTTCAATGTCATTGGATTAATCATTATGTCTTTTTTCCCCTTCTTTTTCACCCTCTATAACAGGGAGGAATGTATATCTTTCAGCTCTTTGACTACTATTCCTGTAGTGGATTCGTTCTGCTATGGATCGCTATTTTTGAGTCCACCGTCATCGGCTGGGTATATGGTACGTTAAAACAAAATGGGGACCATGTGCGTCGATAGAAAGAGTATAGGGTTTGACAGCCCCAATTAATATTAATGTTTATATTTGTTTGCTAAATCTGACATTGCGACAGGGACCATCTGACACAACCTCTTTTGATAAGGTTCAAAAGCAGGAAAAGGGATTGTTACATTCTTCCAAATAATCAATGTATATAGCTTACCCAAAATATAAGGTATTTGCTTGATTGTGTCGTAATCACATTTCCAAAGAGCGCCATCTTGTGTTTGTTAATCGTCTAACCATATGCGAACTCCATTTACAGGTGGAAGACGTTTCATGCGTAGTGTAGCTGCTATGACCGGCATGGGATGGATAACGCGTTACATGGTTTTCTCTTGGATGTTTGCAACGCCATTATTTGCCGGTGTAAGTTCTTGGTTTACTTTCTTTGACTAAACTGCTCAATACAAAACTTTCAAGTGGCGTAGCTAAGGAGGGAACCTCCCCCCCCCCCCTCCCTGGCGATTGGCCAAAAAAGGGAAGGAGGAAAGATGAAGATGATAGAACCCCCCCCCCCCCCCCAAAAAAAAAAAAAATAAATAAATAAAAAATAAATAAATAAATAAATAAATAAATAAAAAAAAAATAATAATAATAATAATAATAAATAAATAAATAAAAATAAAAATAAAAAATAAATAAATAAATAAAATAAAATAAATAAATAAATAAAAAAATAAAATAAAAATAAAAAAAAATAAAAAATAAAAAAGCTCCCTTAGTAGTTGGACTCTTCATAGATGGACTCTTCTTTTTCTACCTCTTATTCTTTTCAATTCACTTTTTTCTACGTTTCTTTTTTGTTAACAAGGCTTCCTGGAAGACAAAAAAAGAATAACGATGATAATGGTTCGAATTTCTTATCTACTTTATCAATTTTCTGGAATAGAATTATTAGTGGTGCAGATTAAGTGGTCACTTTTTTGTGGTTAAAATGCCTATTACAAATGTCAAGAAACCAATCGTTATCAATTGCCTTATTTCAGGGATGGAAATTAGTTTAATCGGGTCTGTGTCACTGTCATTTTCTTCAGACCATCTTCTTGTATAGTCTTGTATCCTACCAGCCGTTGACGTATGAGGATGAATACATCTACCCGTGGTGGGGGTATACGATTGGTATCATGATGGCCGTAGCTTCCATGATCAACATCCCCATCTTCATCATCTACCAGCTCATCTTCAAGAGTCAGGGCTCCCTGAAGCAGGTAATCTTGATCATCAACGCTCATAATTGATAGTAAACCATTCTTGTACAGTGCGACCCAGAAAAAACGAAACCGAGAATTATCGACGTCTTATCATAACTTAATCACAATTGTAATTAATAAATGACACATATTTGTAAAGCTTAGATCCTCTTCTTTCATTTGATGCAACTTAAATGTCAATGGAACGGAGTTAAGTCTTTTGTCAATTCTGCTTGTTGCTACGGCAGACAACCAGTGAAAACGAAGTTTTGAAATCAAATTATGGAAATGCAAGCATCACTTTAAACAAACGGAACTTTGTTATTCCTTGCTCATTTTCCTGATTGAGGTGTCATATGAAAGAGCAGAAACTAAACTTTCTAGAAATGTGAATTTGTGTTCGAAATTCAGATACCGCCCGCCAAATGACTTTTTTGTTTCCTTCAAATTGCTTTTAATCACCCATACGTGAAATATGCATCATGTGAGTTGCATCAGATGAAAGGGGATGATCTAAGCTTTACAAATATGTGTCATTTGTTAATTATAATTGTGATTAATTTATGATAAAACATCGATAATTCTCGGTTTCGTTTTTTCTGGGTCGCACTGTATAGTGCATGTCACAATATGATATCACGTCGATCCCGAAGCTTTTCCAAAGGAGTTTGGATATTATTACCCTAGCTTTAGCTTACTCAGCACACAATGGATTTCAAGGAATAAAATCTTGCAAGGTACCCATTAATCACCTGAGTAGACGGTGGCAAATGTGGATTAGTGTCGTCTTTGCCAAAGGACATGATTGCGGGGTTGGGATATCACTGAGTGGGGGGGGGGGGGGGAGGCGATATACACAAATTACCATCTTCTTTGATAATGCACAGGTTTACTACTCATACATTACCAAGATGTTTTGAAAGAAATGTTCTGTACGAATGCTACAATACACGATCAAAATAAAAGGCATGTCTCTAAGTTTCACCAGTGGAAAGTATCTTCCAGCACTGTTGCAATTTCTCTGCGCCATTAATGGCCCCAACGTTTGGAACACATGCCCACATTCTTTACAATCAATTCAGTTCACCAAACAATTTAAACGTAAACTAAAGCAGCACTTCTTGTCAATGTATAGTTCTTTTTAAATGATATATTGTCAGCGTTGTTTATCCCTTTACTCTTCTCCAGCTGACTGAGCTTTTAATTGTTAATTATATTCTGACGCGCTCAGGGTGCGCCCATTCATCAAGCCCCTGTGGCTTTTACGGATGCACCTTTTTCCATCCTATACTCTAAGCAGATTCACTCATGTCTTCTTTTTCTTTTTCTTTTTCCGATGTATATATACATTATACATACATATATATATATATATATATATATATTTCACTGTATTTTCTTTGCCTACCGTATGTATTACAACAATGTATAATGTCATTTTTTGCTGTGATTGGAATCAAATAAAGTTCATTTCAATTCAATTCAATAATTGTCTTCATCATTTCCCCCTTTTTTGTAGCGATGGATCGCCCTTACCACCCCAAGCGTACCAGATTACGAGACATCCATGGACAAAAAAGAGGTTGAACTGCTGGAGTTTGAAGTCCGCTAAACAATTTCATGTGAACTGATATATCTAGCTGAATTTGTTAGAAAATAATGGGATAATTCGTGCCTTGTGCCTTGAATAATTTGCACGTCCAAGCTATTTTGTCCTATACGTAACCAATCACGTGTATGTTGTAGTATGCCTATTATTATTATTATTAGAATTTCAAGCCGAACTAGAACTTGAATCAGATCCTTTATCAAGTAAAATTATACATAATAATCCGTTATTTGGTACCGCATGGGACACCAAATGACAAAAATACTTTGGCGTTACCCAAACTTGCCAAATACAGTTCATAGGTGTTTTTTTTTCTTTCTGTCTTGCATTGTTTTTCGGGAGCTGGTGTGTGTTTGAATAGTTTAGAGGTCTTGTACGATGGTACATATGTTTTGTTTGGGTAACCTGGGCCCCGTCTTACAAAGAGTTGCGATTGATCCAAATCAATCGTAATTCCTCCAATCAATCGCAAGTTTGAAGTCTAGTATCTCTCATGTACATAGTTGCGATTGATATCAATTGCAAATAAGTTACGATTGATATCAACTCTTTGTAAGACGGGGCCCAGATGTATATTCTAATATGAATATAGATAGTAAGCATGTTAATTCTTTGTATACATATGTATATATTTTTTTATATAATCAAATCCACTGTATACAGTTAATTTTACATTTTCCTTGTTTTTACATGTTGAGTGACTTTGTGGTGTCAGTGATGCATGTTCATTCAAAGCAAACATTTCGAACAGATGTCAATGACAGTTTTATTTGTTTTCATTTTTTTGATTTATTTTTTTACAAAGTTTATGATAGAGGTTTTCCCCTGCAATTGAACTGTGTTAATAATCAACTTAATTCAAAGAAGCCCTGGATTACAAAGGGAATCTTGACATCAGTTAAACGAAAACATAGGTTATATGAACAATTTTGTTTAAAAGGTGATCACCATAAGAGGAAATATTAATTGTATAAAAATAAGTTAACTAACATTAGTAGATCTTCAAAAAGAAATTATTACAAGAATTATTTTGATAATCTCAAAGGGGATCTTAAAAAAGACTTGGAGACAAATGAATTTGATATTGGGCAACAAAAAAGAAAATGCATTTCCCAAAACAATGTATCATGAAATGTAAAAAATAGATTCAAGGATAGATGTTCCAAATGACCAATTTGGTTTTCGTAAAGATTTTTGTACTTCATTTAGTATATTGAATTTTACTGATTACATTTAACAAGAATTAAACAGTCAACATTTTTGTTGTGGAGTATTTATGGATTTATCCAAGGCTTTTGACGTCATCGATCAACACATTATCTTTAAAAAAATGAATTACTATGGTATTTGGGGTATAACGCTTCAATAGTTTCACAGTTATTTATTAAGTCGTAAACAGTATGTGGTGGCCGATGGTGTCGAATCCAATCACATGAATATAGATATCGGTGTTCCTCAAGGGTCAGTTTCGGGGCCTCTTTTGTTTATTTTATATGTAAATTATATTATTAATTCATCAAAATTGTTTAAGTTTTCTCTGTCTGCAGATGACACTGCTGAATCAAATAATTGGTTCAGATGTAATAAATTGCAGCTTAATTTTGAAAAAAATAAATATGTAATTTTCCATCCTAGGAAGAAAAAGGTTTTAAGTGACACTGAAGTTGTAAAAATTGATAATATTGCTATTGAACGAAAGGTCATAGCTAATAAATCATCTATTCAGACAATAGGAGTTATGATTTTTGTTTGAGGCCACACCTTTCAAACCTCTTCTGCATGCAGAACAGAAGAGAGAAAGAGAGAGAGAGAGAGAGAGAGAGAGAGGGGGAGAGGGAGAGAGAGAGGGGGAGAGGGAGAGAGGGAGAGAGAGAGTGTGTAGTTGCCCTGAGTATTACATAGTTTTTCCCATTAATCAATGTGTTCTTTTGACTGATATTGAATGCTTCCCTCTACGTCAGATCAGCGTCCATCAAAGAGCCGTATCATTCATTCACTGTGTACTATATTTTTATAGTCTCCATTATGTAAATTATATCCGTCTCTGCCATTATCATCTTGCCATTTTTATTGTGAATTTGAATGAATTTGTATGCTTTTGTCAGTGTGTTGATGTTTAGCATGGCCTGTCATTCTGAAACATATGTATGACAGTCTCATGCTTTCTCTCTCTCTCTCTCTCTCTCCTCCCTTCCTCCCTCTCTATCCCTCTCCTCTCTCTCTCTCTCTCTCTCTTTCTCTCTCTCACTCTCTCTTTACCAAAAATATACATATACCGGCACCCTGATATGCAGCCACTTTATATTGAAAGAGTACACAGTCTGATATGTAAATGCTCTGTGCACCGTATTTCCTAACTGGTTACATGGAGAACTTAGAATAGAAGAACAAAATATCCACTATGACTCCGATAGTTCGATGACGTACATGTCCTCCACTCAGCTCCCACAGTTAGGCTATCGTGAGAAATGATGTGTGAGTGCCATTAACCATAAGAGGATTTGAATTACGCAATATTTTTCAAGTCATCTTCACTCTTTTATTACCATTCCTGAGTGTTTTGCAAAATTCTTTGTCTTCAAGAATGAAAATGAATTGGTAAATTCAGCTCAATCGAGGAAATCACAAGGTAGCACTCGATAGATATAGGCCTAATGTATTCCTTCTTCTTTTTTTTAATTTATCTGTAATTACTCTTGAAAGTAATTGCGTCATGATTTTCAAAATAGTCAATCGAAGATCTGGATGCAAAATGGATTTTCAGCCTTCATATTCAGGAGAGTTATAACCATGAACCTGCTACCAACTAGTACAAAAACACTTCAACTCTGTAGCAAAAGAGTTGTTGAAGAAAGAACGTAGATACATTGATGATTGAGTGGTTTCACATTGCCCACTCTTCAACAGAGATGCGGGTATTTTCGTTTTCAATTCCTCTTAAAGTATCCAAGTGCTCTCCCTGATAATCTTTTTTCGACCTCTTTAAAAGGGAGTTATATTCCATTACTGCCTTGCCATACTCTCATTATATAGAAGGGTTTTATTGAACAAATTCCATCGTCGCAGTCTTATAACTGAATTGCCATTGAAATACAATTGAAAAGTACGTGTATTTACAAGTTAAAAGTACAATAGTCTTAGGACTATGACATAATATATATAAAAATATCGTATTAAAACTCTATATCAAAATTCAATGAGTATGGAAAGAAAGAAGGGATGAATGAGGAATAGGAGCATGGAACAAGAATTCCCAAAGGTGAGAAAAGAATGAAAGGAAAAGAAAGGAAGGGTAATTAAGAGGAATATATCAATAAAGATGAGGTGAAAAACATGTGTAATGAGCCTTCTATTAATCAGCTTATCCTGCGCTGATCTGGGATTGCACTTTTTTTTTCTTTTTCTTTTTTAATATAATTTGATCATAAGGAAAAGGACGAGACTTGATTTTCCAAGACTGTGTAGATATGCCTGTGTTCGGGAAGGGAGGGGGATTTGTAGAGTTTGGGGAGCTGTGGGAATGTAGGGGGAGGGGTAGGATTGTATTTGTGTCTGAGTATATGAACATGTGAGGTGTGTCTGTCTGTCTGTGCGTAAGGCTTTGATCTACAGTTTTCATTCAGTATAACTAATTTGAAAACATTATGAACTTTGTATTAAACTATATTATGTAATTCTTTTATTAAAAAGCTGACCGTAGATTTCAAGATTTTGGGGTCGGTCTCAAAGGGCGATACAACAACTTTCTTTTAAAGCCTTATATACCCTGCATTGCTGATGGTAACAATATTTTTATTGGCAAGAAAAGCCTGGGATGGTTGGTGTCATTATCAACTGTACCTGTCGTTTGCTTCGCGTTGGATGGAATGAGACATTTTCACACACAATGACGTTGAAACATTAAAACACAACAAGTTTAATTGACTCCTGTGAGGGGGAAGACATAAAGGGTGTCACACTGTATAATCATTCAAGTAATCTGATAACTGAAGCAGGATGTGACTGATTAGTATCAGGATTCATGAAGGGAAGAAAGATGAGCCGTTTAACTGTTCCACAAGTTCAAGAGTATCATGTATTTAATTTAACCTCGATTAATCTACACTGATTACTTTATACTTCAAGTGAAATTGGTTCAAATTCTTGTGCCTACAAGTTTCTAACGACTTTGAATTGAATTTGTGGAACATTTTGCACAGATTTGTGCTTGAATAGGAAATGAATAGCATTAGTTCACTCCACATTTGGACTGAGAGGGGAGGGGGCTGTAAAATTCAAATTCAGTACAAACGTTTAATATTTATAGTAATCGTAATAAGATTTGTCATGATTGGATATGTAATTAGTGAATTTCTCTTGATATTGTTATTGATATTCTTTACATTTATTTCTGATGTTTCTCAATCTCTTTCTCTTTCTCTTTCTCTTTCTCTTCTCTCTTCTTTCTCTTTCTCTTTCTCTTTCTCTTTCTCTTTCTTTCTTTCTCTTTCTCTTTCTCTTTCTCTTTCTCTTTCTCTTTCTCTTTCTCTCTTCTCTTTCTCTTTCTCTTTCTTTCTTTCTCTTTCTCTCTCTCCCTCTCTTTCTCTCTCGTTCTCTCTCTCGCTTTCTCTCTCATTCATGACTATCATTGAATAATGATGTTTATGACTATTATGTAGCAATTTTTCGATGAATGATGTATTCCTGCAAAGGTGACATCGAGTACTGGTTTTGCAATCTTACAATAAACAAATATGTCCTGTAGATTTTGTTCGGAATAGTTGATTTGGAAGATTTATTGTCTTAAAGACGTTTTGTAATCCTCAGATATATAACAAAATTACTAAATCTTTCTAAAAAAAATCAAAAAGAAAAGCTCATATTGCACACGAATTGGCTACACATCATGGCATCAACCAATGTTTCAAGCCTGAAAAATGGCTGGACATATTTCAAATTTGAAAGAATTTCAAGAGCAATTCTATTCATGTGGTTAGTGTTCTTACCCATTTTATGAAATGATGATATATCAAAATTATTTTTTATCATACCATACCCAATGCTATATTCAATTGGGATTCCTGAGGAATTTTCAAGATCATTATTCAATCATGTATCATAGATGTTATAATTGTTTAGATTTGTGGGGAATATTTATGGTTTGTTTATCATTCATCTGCATTAGATGGCAAAATATTGTACATTTTTATCTCCAAATATTTGAGGTTGTGCCACGTATCCTTTGCTTTCGAAAACATTACAAATCGTATCCTACACTGTAAGAAATATATGAGAAATTGGTAGTTAGGTAAAACACATGGAAAAAGATGATGTAAAGAATTGTATCTTAAATATAAAGTTGAGTTCTGGTCATGCGCTTGCATTGTGAAAGAAAAGGTGTGGAATGGATCCAAAAAAATTGATCATGTAGCATGTAAGTATTGGTGTGTACTGCAAGGTTCTGGAGTCATCAAAATCGTAATAAATTTGACCAAGTCTTGGTAAAGTAACAAGCACTGTACACAGAAAGATGTATATGGGACTACACAAATGTGTTCGGGCCTACTTACCTTGACTTCCTTATCTTTCTATGCTCATTACTCAGCCAGTATACATTTTCTACCAAAATTGTTTAGGAAATGACATTTATTTGTAATCTTGAACATTCAGGGTAAGTTTCGTTTGATTCTGTGAGAATTTTTTTTTTATTTTTTTTTTATCAGAACTCAAGTTTATCTTCAATTATATCAACAAAAAGAATGACAAAAAGGGGAGGGAAAGTATCGAAGCTGTTTCCATATGCACAGAGCCTTCTAGCCGTATATTGTTGAATTGTGTTGCATTATATTGATCAAAGTCAACGATTTAATGAATATTTACTTGAAACACTACACCAAGTAACGGCTGTACTGTATTTGCATGCTCAGTGCAACCTATCAGTGTTTGGGGAGCTAGGTCCATTATTTCGCATAAACAATTAACATTTCATAAACACGAGTATGCATTGTGTTAAATTATTTCCGTGTCTTCAATCACATTTTTTTAATGATGTGCAGCTATTTGTTTGATTTTATGTTTCTTTTTCAACCTCTCCCTCCACCCCTCTCTCTCGCTCTCTTTCTCTCTCTCTCTCTCTCTCTCTCTCTCTCTCTCCACCCCTCTCTCTTTCTCTCTCCTCTCTCTCTCTCTCCCCCCCTCTCTCTCTCTCCCAGACCCCCTCTCCTCTCTCACCTTATTTTCCCCTATCTCCCCCTCGCTATCTCTCTCTCTCTCTATCTCTCTCTTTATGTATTTCCTCCCCTCTTTCTATTTCTCTCTCTCTCTCTCTCTCTCTCTCTCTCTCTCCAAGACCCCCTCTCCTCTCTCTCACTTTATTTCCCCTATCTCCCCCCCCCCTCTCTCTCTCTCTCTCTCTCTCTCTCTCTCTCTCTCTCTCTTTATCTCTTTCCTCCCCTCTTTCTATTTCTATCTCGTTCTTTCCATCTCTTCTTTCCTCTCTCTTCCTTCTACTCCCTACTGCTTACATCTCGACATGTTGACAATGGTTATGTTGATGTTACGTGCACTTTATTTGCACCGTTTTCCATGGTGACCCTTCAAGAACTAATTAAAGGCCGTCTGTACTGGTTTGGCTAGGAGGGATTAGACCAACCAGGGTGCTCATTGGCAGATGGCTATCTCGTCAACTCAGCTCTCAATTAACATAAGAAAAGAGGATCATGGGGATCAATGGGCACCGATTAGGCATTGTTTTCTATATAGAGGGAGCAAGTAGCTACAAGTAGTACAGTGGGGCTTTAAATGAAAAGGAATGTTTATAGTCCAGCAGCTAGAATATATTGCTCTGAATAGTTGATTCCGAAGATTTTTTGTCTATTGCAGTATGTTTTGTAAATATCAAAGCTATTACATAACCATTAAATCTTTCTTAATATAATAAAGAACAACGAGCACTGCTCAAACATAATTAAGGGTTAACTGGGTTACGCAATGTGAAAATTTGGTCCAAACCTAAAAATATGATTGGTCATATTTCAAATTGGAAATAATATCAAGAGCAACCCTTTTCTTGTGAATGATATAGTAACTCATTTGATAAAATAAAGAAAAGAACACGATATTTTACAAGTTAAGCAGCTAAAAGTCACTCGATAAAATGAATTAATAAGTTTGGCAGTTATTACTATGGAGAAGAAGAAGAAAAATAGGAGGAAAAGGAAAAAAAGAAAATTGGCGTCAATCCATTTTTTTAATTGAAAAAGGTGCATTCATCGAATGTGGTTTTGATGAAACATGGATAACACTGAGGGATATACTGAAAGAACATGACAGAACCCTTCTTTTTTTCAAATGATATTTTATTTGGTACTCAAAACAATATAATATATATTATGTTATAATAGAGAGATGTGACATGAATAATAAAGACAATATTATAAAAGCATTCTATTACATCTTGTAAAATATAACACAGGAAATAAATCAATATTTGAATATTCGTGGAATAAATTAATTAGATAAGTCCACCGCCCGAACTGTCTCCGCCTGCCTCACCCCGCGCTGAGAGCGCAGCCCCGGTAGACACAGGGAGCCACCGCACCGCGCTCCAAACACTGAAATGGGAATGTATTATACAAAAGGGCATGGTGGCTCAGTGGTAAGATCGCCCGCCTCATGAACGGGAGGTCGTGGGTTCGAACCCCGGCCGAGTCGTACCAAAGACTTATAACAATGGGACCTTCTGCCTTCTAGCTAGGCGCTCAGCATATTAGATTAGATAAGGGTAGTAATAACATATTATGTTATGCAGGGCCCGCTTGAAGAGCAGTTTCATAACTGAAGGGGCTACCCTGGGTAAATAAAACGTTATTATTATTTTTATTATTATTTCTGGTAAAGAAAGGTAAAATAATACTTCTAGATTGAACTGATTAACCATTCACTGGCAAGGGATTATGGGTATTCACTTCCACCTATCTTCGCTCCCATTGATCTCGAGGTATGTGAAGCAGAAAGCGAGAAAATAGGAATAATCACTTGGCTTGAGAAAGTCTACAGGAGTGGGATGATATAGCTTGCCTACTAAACAACAGTGTAGGCAACATAAATGTCGATTCCAAAGTTTTAGGAGGAGATTCCCCCCCCCCCCCCATCCTTAAAGGTACTTGGTAACATAGTTCAGATGAGAGAAAATGGTGCTGAGGTAGTGTCTTCAACGCTAGATGTACAATTAAAGATGATCTGAAAGTTTGATTGAAAAAAAAATCCATATTAATTATAACAATTGAGGAAAACTGATCTGATTGATTTCTTAATTCTCTCAACTATATTATTACAATCTAATTACATTTTAGGTGAATGTTAATCGTCATATAGCAATGAATTGGCTCTATATATCATTCCAATCATTTAAGTGTTGGCAGATTTTTTTTTGTTTAACCTGTTCTTTGTCTTATTTTCATGGGAAAACGTTGGGAAATTTTTTTTTAAATGGTTTGGACAATTTACTGTTAGAGTGTGTCGAACAGTGATGCCGTCAAAGAAAACCATAATCATGTTTGTGGTTTGAGAATTTGTTAAGGATTTTGTTTGTTTGTTAGGGGTTTAGTACGGTAGAAGGAATATACTAAGGAACACTTCATACAAAGATTACACATTTTTCTTAATCAACCTTCAACAATGTTACCGAGTCTTTCTAAAGGTAAAGACCAGTATTGGAAACGCCCCAATTTCAAAAAATGAAATGGAAGCTTTATTAACAATCATGTGAAAGAATATGTTTGACTAATACATGATGATAACAAATTTTCCGTGAAACCGCCTACTAATTGATATATTTGGTAAATTTGTTTATCTATTAGTATGTGAGAGATAAACGAACATGTCGCGCACGTGTGCGTAGTACCATATACATCTTTCTGTGTACAGTGCTTGTAACTTTACGACGACTGGGCCAAATTTCTTATCATTTTGATGATTCCAGAATCTTGCAGTAGACACCAATACTTGTATGCTAGATGATCAACCTGTTTTGATCGATTCCACAACGTTTCTTTCACAATGCTATCGCATGACCATAACTAGTCTTTAGCTTTAAGAACGACTCCCCTGGACCCTGAAGTCTTTGTATAATAGGTGTCTAGCTTGTCAGCCTTCTCTGGGCTATGTATCGGCTTTAAAATCGATCCTATTATCTTCCATTGTAGGATGTGCGGTTACGTAATCATATTCAAACACGTTTTGTGGAAATGCACGACACAGAGTATTCTGTGCGCTAAACCAGAACCACTAAGGGAAGGAAATGAATGCAACGATAAGAACAGAAAGTAAGAATGTGTTTCGGAATCGTCTGTGACATAATCAACACACATGTCTATCGCAGGGCCATCTAGAGTCCCTAAACTCCATATAGCTGATCGAAGATCGATAATTGCAGATTTTAAACTGGACAGCAAATACTCGAGACAATCTGCACGTATAAGAGACAGGCGTCATGATAACATAACAGTGTGCACTTTGGCTGGGAGATATTTTCCTTTCTCTTCGTCTTGTGAGAGAGTTTTATGAACAGTGATATTTCTTGGAGATTCCCTTATATGAACTTTCATGCACATGCAACTACCCTCGAGAGAGAAAGACTGGTTCGCTGTTTGCAAAGAGAGGTAAGTAACTTTGCTAAATCATTCATCTCTCAAAACTGACGTATTTGTCGACTTATCATACCTATAGCCGAGGATGGTTATGTTTACAAGATTCTGCCAAAAGATTCTACACCCCTTTGTGTGCAGAAGTCTATGGCTGTTTGATGTGTATGTACCAGATTTCAAATAAAATATGACTCCTGATCGAGTTAATGGACTCACATTAAAATGTTTTTAGCAATGATGTTTTATTAGTACATGTAGTACATTCCTCAGATCTACAAAAGACTTTGGCGTTGATCGTGTGTAGGAGCATTTAGGGTCCTCATCATAATGAATTCTGTTGTTATTAATTTTGGTTGAAAGTAAATGCCCCCCCCCCCCACACACACACACACACACACACATACGTGAAGCCTGTGACAACATTACTTTATAGATCAGTATTTTTGATTGAGTATTCATTTTGACATTACACGTCCTGCAGCTTATTCGAACAACTTGTGTAATGACCCAATAAATTGTAAAATCAGAATGGGTTCTTGATCCGGGTGTTTTAATGGGCAAAGTCTGGCAATGTATAACTGTGTAAAGTTATGAACATAATTTTATAGAAAATTTCAATCAGATTATAATGGACTTTTATATTGCGTGCTTCTTGTGTATTCTTGTTCATATATTCATGCTGTGGTGTTGTTGTTGTGTTGTTGTTTTGGTTTTATTGGCGTGTATCATTCATTTATTAATAATTACGTTGAGTTCAAGTTGCATTAAACAAAAGTAAATGGAAGCACAAGAAAGAAGGGGGAAAATCTACGCTGTTCAATTTTTCGCATTTTGCGGAGATTCCAGACAGGCTGTCAAAAAATAACCAATGGCCGTTTTGGGTGTACTTTCTGACTTGCTAAAGTAGACGAATGCTTTGTATGTAGACATATTGTATGTACACGTTGCTTTGTATGTACACTTATGAGTCAATTGTTTTTAATGTTTGCCGTGAGTGAAAGTATTTCTTTTTCAACAGTGATTAATATTTGCACATTGCAAATATCACGGGTCAATATAGCTTTTTTGAGCAAATTAACATAAGAGTGATCAAAAGGGCAGATGACTTGTGTAGAACTTTATAATATAGTTTTAAAATAGTTTTCCATACCCGACCTTCTGAGCTTTATTTGCTTTGTGTAAGTGTGTGTATTTTATTTAGATTATCTTTGTGTAGGTGTTTGTATTTTATTAAGATTATCTTTGCGATGGTGCATCGTATAATAATAATAATAACGTTTTATTTACCTAGGGTAGCCACTTCAGTTATGAAACTGCTAGCTAGAAAGATATTTTTCTCGTCGTATTAATGCTTGGATTAAACGGGTCGCTTGTGCTTTTCATGAAATAATGTACAGCTGTTACTATAATCCTATCGATTAGTAATTATTTAATATTGACACTTATTTTTAATCTTCAAATTACATGCACCATGGTCCTTGTACAGTCAAACCTGTCTATAGTGACCACCCAAAGTAAACACAAAAAGTGGTCTTAGTAGAAAGGTGGTCTTTGTAGACAGATTCCTTTAGTACATGATTCAATGAGAAACTGTTTTCAAGGGAAACAACAAATGTGGTCTTTGTAGACAGGTGGCCTTTGTAGACAGGTGGTCACTAAAGCAGGTTTGAGTGTATCTTACTTCAGCTTGTGTCATCGTGAGTGTATTGGGTATTAATTACAATATCGCAGTCACATCGACGAAATCCTCACCAGATCGACAGCAGACTGAGCGAAAATTTACGTTACTCCGAATGGCCTAGAAACGATCGGCTTAGAGTCGGGGCGGGTTCGGCTTGTCGGTGTGACTAGGTCCATGGTGTGACTGAGCCTACGATGTGTGCATGACACACCAATATTATATGATCGGGGCGGATTCGGTTTGTCGATGTGACTAGGTCCATGGTGTGACTGAGCCTAAGACGTGTGCATGACACACTTGTGTAATATGTGCTATATATTATATGATCGGGGCGGATTCGGTTTGTCGATGTGACTAGGTCCATGGTGTGACTGAGCCTAAGATGTGTGCATGACACACCAATATTATATGATCGGGGCGGATTCGGTTTGTCGATGTGACTAGGTCCATGGTGTGACTGAGCCTACGATGTGTGCATGACACACCAATATTATATGATCGGGGCGGATTCGGTTTGTCGATGTGACTAGGTACATGGTGTGACTGAGCCTAAGATGTGTGCATGGCACACTTGTGTAATATGTGCTATATTATTACATATATATTATAATATATATGATCACTGGGTTGTTTAAAAATGCATGTAGATACTACATTGTCAAATTCATATTGTATGATTATAAAGTTTGTACTAATAGGACTTTTGTTGTTTTCCACTTGATTTCTTTTGGATGGAGTGGTCTAATTTCAATTTTCAATTTTCTGTACAGTAGGCGTATAGTATAAGGGGGAAAAACAAATTGTTTATCTCCTAATGCAACTGTTTAAGTATGCTGTATATGTATCGTGTTGTGAATTAACTTCGTTATTGATAAATAAAAGTCGCTATTTCTAAATTTGTATCTTTCTCAATACTGTTGGTTCCTGTGTGTTTCTTTGTGTCACCCTGTGTTTGATTGTGTTTTTTTTTATACAACACTGACTACCAACAATATTCACCCTGCACATACTAAAGAGAGTGGAGTTTGAATTCCTTGAATGCTGTGAGCACCGAAATAGGTAGCCTAGCAGAGCCGGGGTAATGTTGGAGCGCTTTGATATCCAATATTATCATTATCGCAACAATGGTACCACATATCGAAACGTCGAAATACAGCTCAGTCAGTAGAGCGTCCGCCTCACAACCGTGAGGTTGTGGGTTCGAACCCCGGCCGCGTCATACCAAAAGACGTTAAGAGACGGGAGTTGCTGCTACCTTGTTTTGGCGTTCAGAAATAAGGGATAGAGCAACGCCGATTTGGCGCTGCTCAGTGGCTACCGGGCTGACGATCAATATTGGGCAAAAAGAATATCCATTTTCAGTTTTAACTCAATAAAATTTGGAGTGGACTTTAAAAGATTATTCAGGGCCAACTAATCCTGTGGAAAGAATACGTGGTGTTACCGCAAACCTCGCTCAAATCTATCCTCACCTTGGAAGCAAAACCAAAAGCATGGATTAAATACTCAGAAAAGTTTGGTAACAGATTGTTATCGATGATTTATAAAGCTGTTCTGAGTATTTTGTTTGTGTTTAATACGCACATTAATCAAAGAGAGTGATAAAAGTCTAAACCTGAATGCCTAACGTTTAGTTTGATGCCCTACTCCCACAATGAAAATATCAGGGGCGGATCTAGGGGGGGGTTCGGCGGTTTAAACCCCCCCCCCCCCCCCTTTGGCGGCCAAGAGAAAGAAAGGGGGGAAGAAGGAAAAAAGAAAAACAATAAAACGGCGCGATGTTTGGAAAATCCTGGATCCGCCACTGGGTCAAACAACCCCCCCCCCCCCCCCCCCCCCCTTGGCAAAAAGCTAGATCCACCCCTGTATATATATTTGTACGGTGGCAGATTATGAAAAAGAAAAAAAGAAAAGCTCTCTGCTGGAAAATGTTTCTTTTACCTCTTAAATTTCTCCTCTGTTCCAGACATAGTGCATGTTTGTTTTTTTCTTTTTTTCAATGCCTTTCAAGAAGGAACATAAGTCTCGTCGACTTTACTTTTTGGAGATTATGTCTACGAGCAAGAACGTGATCGTTGTCGGCATCATTGTCATATTGATCCTCATCAATCTCGAGTTCGTCCTTCGAAGACTACTTGATATTTCTTCAGGTGTGTTATCATATTAAAACGTAACTATTTCGACATATACAGTGATCTATCATTATTTTCATACAACATGAATCGGTTATAAAGGATACATCCCCTATCCCCTTCTCCTCTCCCCATTCCCCCTTCTCACTATCAATGTCACACACTCTCTCTCTCTCTCTCTCTCTCTCTGTCATTCGCTCTCTCTCTCTCTCTCTCTCTCTTTCCCTGTCACTCTCTCTCTCTCACCCTCTCTCTCTCTCTCTCACCCTCTCTCTCTCTCTCTCTCACCATCTCTCTCTCTCTCTCTCGCTCACCCTCCCTCTCTCTCTCTCTCTCTCTCTTTTTCCCTGTCACTCTCTCTCTCTGTCACTTTATCTCTCTCTCTTTCCCTGTCACTCTCTCTCTCTCTCTGTCACTCTCTCTCTCTCTGTCACTCTCTCTCTCACTCTATCTCCCTCTCTTTCTCTCTCTCTCTCTCTCTATCTCTTTCTCTACCTCTCAATCTCTCTTCGAAAGCACCAAATAGTCACAATCAATTAATTTGTCCCAACTTTGTTATGAAAGAAAAAGTTTAGGGACTCTACCACCTGTATTGAAAAAAAGTATTAAAAACACCAGTAGGTGTTGGCTATACAGCCTATGGGACCGACAATTTTCTATCTTCACTCATTCATTTATTTGCTTTTAGGTTACTCGTGGTCGTAATAGATATAACTTTCGAGATGAGAAAAATAAATTTTTCCCAATCTTTTTTCTTGCCCTTCTCTTATCATTCTTTCAAAACACTGTTAAATAAATAGGCGCCGCCACAGGTTTACGCCATCAAAAACGTATATTTTCCGCGTAAATGGCGGTATACGTTATCAAAGCCCGTTAAGATTATGTCGTCACGGTAAGATGAATTGTACATTCAGCAAAAATATTGCTCTTTTGGAATCCCATTGAGTAGCAGAAACATATATTTATTCTTTGTTGGGGGGGGGGGGGTGGGTAGCTAGGACAGAATTGATTCTATACAGGGGCGGATCCAGGAATTTCTTCTTTGGTCCCCAAAAAATCGCAACGACTCAGCTAGCCGCTGAATAAGCAGGGGGGGAGGTAAGAGCACATTTTTGGCGAATTTAGGGCTGATTTCAACACTTTTTTTGGCCGGGGGGGGGGGGGGGCACGTGCCCCCTGTTCAGCCCCCCCCCCCCTTAGATCCGCCACTGCTATAGTTTCTTAAATTTCATAATTCACCGTACAGTATAATTATATGTTGAACTTTGGAATCCTCTGCATGCAGATCCAGTTTATAATCCGAAGGCACGTTTCGGAAATGAAGAACAAGATGGAAGTATATCCACGGTACGTAACATTAATTATCAATCTTACTTTTAGAGGTCCTGCGTACTTACATATCATGAATGTAAGGAGCATGATGTATGCTGAGGAATGGAAAAATTAGTCTATTTATTGAGAAAATGGATAATTTGATTTGGCAAGGTGTGGTGTCAAATTACTTGAGTATTTACTTCAATATCGGGTTTTTCCTCATATTTTCATCTCACAATTATAAGGATCAAAACCTGTGGATCAATCAACCCCACATTAGTGAGATCAGTTAACCCCTCAAACAGCCCTCATCCTAATTCCAAGCTTGTTATTATTTCAGTGAAGCTGTTAAATGTATAACATCAGACTTACGTTTTGAGCAACAAAAATAGAAATTATACTTCGCCGTGATTATTTTTCTCTGTGAAAACAAACAAAAAAAGGTTTAGCTCCATCACGTCTAAGATGGTTAAATGATTTCTCCCTATCTCGATATAGATTGGTACTTTATACGACAATGTACTAAACGTGTCAACCAATGCTCCAGTTGATTTGATGACATCATCTAATGTATCTTTCATGAATGAGCAAGATGCGATCCAGAAAGCCAGACGACGGCAAGTAAGCCACACTTGTAGGAAGAACAATCTAGGTGGGACATTCACAGATCTTCTGAAGTCCAGTAACCATCGCCTTATTGTTGATGAGAAGTACAAGCTCATCTATTGCTCTGTTCCAAAGATCGCTTCTACCAGTTGGAAACGAGTACTTCTGGTCCTTAGAGGAGTAATGAATGACACCTACGATCTCTCACAGTCAGAAATTAACAACAAAGTAGCGCCCAGGAAACTGAAGTATCTTCGTTTCTACCCGGCGGCGGACGTCCGGAGAATGCTGAGAGAGTTCACCAAGTTTCTAGTCGTTCGAGACCCCTTCTCAAGAATTTTGTCAGCTTTCAGGAATAAACTAGACCCTCTGTCAGACTTTCGGAATTGTGATATCTGGCAGAAGGGTATTGGTATGCATATTCTAAAGAAATACAAACCTTGGTCTCTCATTGCACCAAGTCGTCCTGTATTCAAGAGACTCGTAACACCAAAAGGGGTTGTCCGCTATGACTTAAACATGGCTGACTTTGTCAAGTTCTTGGTAGACCCTCTAGAGAAAAACGACAACGAACATTGGTCAGAAATCCATCGATTGTGTTCTCCCTGTCTAGTCGAGTATGATATAATAAGTAAATTCACAACGTTGGACGCGGACGCTGAATATATTCTCCGTCTTATACACGCAGACTCTGTCGTCAAATTTCCATCATCGATTGGAAGTAGTCCTACGAATAGCTCTAATACTGCGTCAATAAAATCATATTTCAGAGATGTACCACGGGGAGACTTGGATAAACTATACAGTCGCTTCCAGTTAGACTTTGAGCTTTTTGGTTACGAAAACCCCGACATGGGCCTATCGTAGTAAATGCATTACTTGTGTTATCAAAAGAATAATTCTTTGTATACCAGTATTTAACATTATACATTTTCTAAAACTCTCCTCTTTGACCATGATCAACAACTTCTTCGATAATGTTTATGTAAAGCGCTGTGATACAACAGTTAGTTTGTGAGAGCGCTATAGAAACGGCTTTATTGTATTGTATTGTATTGTTTTATATATTTTTTTTTATGTGAATACAATACACCTATATTTTTACATTTCGTCTGATTTATATGCGTATTAGGAAATTAAAGTGAATGAAAATATTTTTTGTAATCATTTCATATCATCTTTTCAAAACTCACGTACCATTATTATAACTATTGGAAGTCGTTAATAAGCATTTATATTATGTTGTGCAATAAGAATAATGTGACTGTACTTTGAGGGTGCATATTACAGTTAAATTATTAATTATGGGCCTTTTATACATTCCACTGCCAAAAGTTTGTTGCATGGCGTAGATGAGGTAAAATCGACCTGACTGTGGGGTCCGTTTCGGAGGGCTCGATGCTGGGGGCTTAAGTCGAAAAATAAAAATAAAACAATATTAATACAACTAATGTTGATGTACGAAGTTTAATAAACTTTCGTTTGCTCTACATTTCCAACTTTCCAAGCCAGTGTTAGGGGCAGTGCAACTCTTTGCAAATAGACAAAATAACAATATGACATTTTCCCCACTCGGTTGCTACGCTCTTTCGCAAAATAGTTATGTAGATTTATACTTTTTTGAATAAAGAGTTCCATCATTTTTTAAATTACCATAATTTTTTTTCTAAACCTCGGTCGCTAGTATAATCATATAATTATATAATTTGGTCTAACATACAGAGTTTCAAATTTAAAAATCCTTTTTCTTTTTTTTTTCCTCACTCGGTTGCTACGCTCCCTTGCAATTGAAGAGAATTTTTTTCATTTTTGTTTCATAACAACTGAAAGAAATGCCAATAAGTTCACTCTTAGACGCTTTGCAGTTGATGGAAGGTTATTTTATTCTGAAGGCAACAAAACAGCCCCGCCCACACTATATAAAAAAAGGCTTGTCTCCAATGTACGACAAAAAAAATAAAATAAATGGTGCTCACTACCCCCCCCCCTCCCACTTTCCCCCCCCCCCCCCCCCCCCCCCCCCCTGATGGAAGGTTATTTTATTCTGAAGGCAACAAAACAGCCCCGCCCACACTATATCAAAAAAGGCTTGTCTTCAATATACGACATTGTACAATACAGTCTGTGTGGTCTTGTAACTAGTATGCACCTGCACCCAGTGGCGGATTTTCTGGGGGGTTTGGCCCTCCCCCCCCCCCCCCCCCCCTACTGAGCGACTTTTCGGCCAACACAATTTTCAAATTTCGGGAGCAAAATATAAATAAAATAAATAGTGCCTACTATAAAAAAAATCAAAAAAAAATGGAGAGTTTCGGTACGCCTGATAAGATAGAGAGAATGCTGTGTGAGAGATCGTGGAGAAAGAAAGAAAGAGGAAGGGATCAAGTACGACTATACTCTACAACGAGGACTGTACTCAATGGAAGAAGAGAGAATAAGGTATGAGAAAAAGGTTGAGAGAGAGTGAAAACTCGAACCTTACGTTTGAGTCATTAGGGACTTTTAGATTTGCTTGGACTGATACGTGTGACGTCCATTCAGGGCAGTGCATTAAAAGGTCGTCGATCGTAGCATAGACCTATTGTCTTGGTGCGAATCTAAAAGTCCCTAATATCAGTTACAAGCGTACGCGGTATATCATTGTGCTCCGTTGCCTCTCCTCATTGACACCACTATCTGCGTCGTGATTCAGAGCAAGATGTTATCACCTTATAAACATAAGACTGTTCTCTGTGTAACAGCTATCATTGGTATGGTAGTTTGCTCTATCTACACATCATTGTCTTCACCATCCGCTAGACACCTGATGAATATCGGTAAGTTTATCACTTTTCATATATAATTTATTTTACAATGATATCAACATTTTTGTATTATACGAAAAAAAGACATATAGGTAGCATTCGAAATTGAGTTTTGTGAAACGAAAAGTACTCTAATTAAAATTGAGCTGTACAGTCGCTGTTTGAGAACGAACATTAATTATAAATCAGTTTCCACTATATTTTTTATGTCACATACATGTACTTTGTGTCCTTTTAGTTGGTAATGATATTGACTGCTCTAGTTACCATGAAAATGAATATGAGAAAATAAGATTAAAATAGTGTGTGTGACGTGAAATCGAATACTTGACTTGACTTTGGTTTTGATATCGTTTCCGAATTCGAATCACTTTCATATTATGTTTATACAACGTTATTCATTCAAAATGTAAAATGAGGTCTTTTATCTGCAGTTCTGGTAATTGAATTACATTTACATCTACATTAATTCTTTAAAGTCATTCTAAATACATTCTATTCAGGAATAGCAAATGGGGGGAACCTACCGGCAGGACTGGAAACGACATAGACCAGGGAGCGCAAAGAATATTTTAGGCCTTGATTAGATTTTCTTTTGGCCTTGAGCTTTTCTTTGGATTCCTATCATTTCTTGGATCTTTATATTCCTTTGAAAATCTAGTGAAGTTTGCATTTTAATGTGAATTTCATTTTAATCTTATAAACTGTATCTTTCATAATTGCTTTAACTTATCATACTGACGATTGAGAATCTTGTTTTATTTCTATTTTTCAGAATATGAAAGTTTTTCCAAGATAAATCATACAGCTCCTTTGAGAAGGGTAAGAAAATCATCGTTATTTACACTATATTGTTATTATAATTAAAAGATTACTTACATTACATGGTATTAAGATTGATAGTCAATATTATGAACGCACTTATAATATTTATAATTAATTTGGCATGAGGCATGAATGTAAAAATTATCTGCCTGTAGAAGCAGTGGTATAGCTTGATCATTATGAAAATCAACCTTAACATATAGTCTTATTTATTTATAACAGGGTGGCCCTCAAAAGAACTCGACATTATGAGATCTGCATTTTTAACGACAACCTTTGGGTTTGGGGCAAATAAAATTCCATTCTGAATAAAATGACACCAAGATAATTATTATTGGGTAAGGCAGTTTGATTCTACGCTTTACATTTGTAAGGCAAAATTTGGTACTTTTGCAACCATAGTCATGCTTGAAGTAGCAACAAATTTGTACATGACGACTTGCCTAGGTCACATTTGTCGCGGCGGCCGTGGGGTCTAAAATATCTACGGCAATAGCAATTATAGGGCCGCCGCAGCATTCCCACGGTCAGATACTGTTGCAGTCACAAACGTTAGGGTAGCGCGCGGCGTATTTTGAATTTGTGGAGACAGAAAACTTGCGGCTGCCGTACGGCCTTTGAAGTGATGGCTCACGGTCGCCTTAGGCCGTCCCTGATATGCGGCAGCCGTAGCTGTTTGACAAATACTAAGGCAGACGATTGCAAGATAGCCGCAAGGTCACCGTACGTCCCACGTGTGGTCACCGTGGAACCGCTCTACGGCATGGCTATGGTATGTCTAATTGTTTGATTGCTACGGCGACCCTAGGGGACCCATAGGGCCTATAAAGATAGGGATTCGCCATATTCAGGGTGACCCTGAAGCCACCGCAGATCCTCCGCGGCCGCCGCAGTCTCTCGTTTTCGGGGTTCACAGCCACCGTATCCTAGTCGTAGAGCAAATGTGACCTAGACCCCGTTTACAGAGAGAAAAGAGCCAGGGCCGGGCCAGGCCACGGCCTGGCCGCGGCTTGGCCAGGCATACTCGGCCCCGCAATGTTGTGCGTTTACAGTTTTAGTTTACAGTGCTAGTGTTTTTATTAGATTATTTCTATTATTCTGTCGGTCCAATTTTGGGTATTCTGAGGAGGCTAGCAACAGTGTGTGGTATGTGTGTGGAAGAGTGGTTGGGTGGTGTGTTTGTGCATGTGTCGTGTGTTGCATGGTGTGGGTAGTAGTGTGTTTGGATGTATGGGGTTATTTGTTTTATTTCACTATTGATTTCATTTTTTTCATCAATCGTGCAATCTATGTATTGAAATATATTGAATCATGTCACGATAAGAATGATTTATATTGTTTTGGAATCAATTAAAAAAAAACTATTTCACCTTTCATTTTTCAGATGACATCTACATCTAATTCAGGGAGGCCATTCCAAGAAAAGGTTAAGTTACCCTTAAGGTACACGACGAAATCGAATTCAACCTTGGCACCGACATCATTGACCGTGAACGGAGACAAGGAGTCACTTGATTTCATGGACATTCAGGCCGATATTCAGCGACGTCGTCGAACGCAATTAAAAGATGGTTGCCTTGCACGCGACATGCACCTCAATCAGGGAGTCAACATGCCAGGCAGTAAACTCATTGTCGATGATAAATACAAACTCGTCTACTGTAATGTACCTAAGGTGGCTTGTACGAGCTGGAAGCGGGTCTTTCTTGTTTTGAATGGTGTCATGAAACACCCGGACGACCTGTCACAATCACAAGTCAATAATCATGTCGGACCTCGTAAGCTCAAATTCCTCAACTCTTACAACAAAAGTCGGAGAGCTGAAATCCTGGAAAGCTACACAAAGTTTCTGGTGGTACGTCACCCATTTCATCGTATATTATCCGCCTATCAGAATAAACTATGGGCAGGGTCGACATCAAACAGCTCGACAGCATTTCAGAGCAAATATGGATTGCATATCCTTAAACAATATAGACCAAATACAATATTGAACAATAAGAGCGGTAGCATCGAGCGTAAAGTGATATCAATAACAAAAGCACAGAAGGTCAACTATGATCTCCGATTTGATGAATTTGTAAAATTCTTGACGAACACGACAGAAAAGGCGTCATTTCTGGAACAAAATCATTGGAGAGCGATCAATCAACTATGCGGACCATGTCAAATCGATTACGACGTCATCGGTCATTTCGATTCCCTAGTTGATGACGCCCTCTATATCCTTCGTCTTGTCCATGCTGACCACGTCGTTGAGTTTCCGTCCTCGAAAGGGAGTAGCCCAACCAACAGCTCTTCCAACTCTCTATACGAGTCCTACTATGCTGAGGTTCCTCGGACTGACTTAGAAAAACTCTACCAAAAATACCGACTCGACTTTGAATTATTCGGATATGAAAAACCAGCTGTTATTGTATGAAGTTTAAGTCAGTTGATGTTGTGCCTTGTAATATGATATAATATATTATATATATGATATCACCTTGTAACGAGGGAGAACACAATCGGAACCATTTTGTGTGAAGTCATCTTATTAACTCATAGCCAGCCATAAGGCTGCATGCACGCTAGCTGCCGTTATAGTGCTTTGTACATGTGAGCGAGCCATTGCTTCACTTGTGCATGATTGCACGCATTCGTAATAACATTTATTGTTCATGCTCATTGTAGTGTGCTGTGTGTTTTGCACGCGCTATTAATAGAACCATCGCGTTAATCAGATTATCTCAAAATAAACTTGGCACAATGGGGATTAGCCCTGTCGCATGATAAGAGTTAAATAACGACAATTTAAGTACCCAATGGGTATGTTCCGTCAGTAAATCGAATGTTAAATATCCACAGGATCTGAGTACAAGGGAGAGGGGGTATGGCCTGCAGCTCTTGAGGATTGTGAATTTTTCTAAATTCGGCAAACATACCTCATATTCGGGCAGACTTGACAGACTTTTGTAAATTCATTTACTTTTTTAATATGTATTCCTGTGACAAACCTACATTTCCACTATTAAAAAGTGTCAAATGTTAACTTGCTCACTTCGCTCTCTCGCAAAATTTGAAATCTGGAAAGTTGTCTTTCGGCCAAGAGCTGTCAGCCCCTCCGGCACACTTCGTTTCTGATCGAAGTCATGAGCTTTTACCCCCAACATTCAGTGAGCTATATAAACAACTAAAGACAGTCATTGAATCAATAAATGCAGACAAAGTAACAAGGGAGTATTGACTCTATCTTAAAGGTAATACAAAGTTTTGGTTTAGGGTCATGAATTTGGTTCGAATGAACATATTGGAAGCATATGCGATCCTTTAATATTCAGGGATCGTT